ATGCCCTCCCCTTGCACTATGCAAATATCTTGGCCTCCATTCAGGATTCCTTTCTGGGGGTGACACCTCTAACATAATCATTACAGCGTCTTCTTTATAGGCTTTGAATGCTTTATTGGGTCTGGCCCTTCATTACGCAAAGGTAGGGCTACATCACTTTGTGAGAGTGAGTGATGGATCCATTTGATCTGTGATGGAAAGTGGTGGATGCATTTGATATATCTCCTCTGGTCAATGCCAGATCGATGTGTATGCTTGGAGAAGGATTTATTTTGAAAGAAATATTTCTATTTAGTAAGCTTGAACACAATCAATGGGTCCTTTAGTTTTATTTCACATAAATGTTCACCTGAACATGTCCCTGTTTGCAGTATATTCCTGGTTATCATGCTGCTCCGTTACAAAGGAATGGCTGCATATTTCTGGCCGTGTCATCATAAGTTTTGAGTGACAGAGTGACATGTTTCATTTGATTACTGCAGTACCTGTGAACAGTTCAGTCCTGGCAGCCTGAGAGGAAAAGTACCATTAAATGCCCTGGGATAGCATAAGATGGGCTGCAACACTGGGATGTTTCCTCCTCCAGCCCAGGCGTTTTGCCTCATTTCTGAAGTCACCATCCCATTGACTTATTTGCTGGGCTGTCACATCGGCTATAGTGATGCTTTTCACACCACTATATTTTGTGACATTTGTTCCTTAAAAAATGGGAATAAGGTCACTCTAAGCAGCTGTGAATAGCCATCAACTTTCAATCACCATCAGCCCAGATGGCTTTTGAAGCAGCAGCTTTGGGTGGGGATGAAAGGCTCTGTGTCCTACTGACAGTGCCGTCAGCCAGTCAAAGGTGGAGGCAGGAATGAGAAGTCTGAGATGCACATTTTAAATTATGGGGACAGCACTTACTATGAAGACATTATTTGAAATAGTGTCTAGAGGGCAATAGGAGTGTGCTTAATTCTGTAATTTATTTTATTCCAAAACCTTAATTTTTAAAAATGTATTTCATGACCTACATAAGGTCCCAGTTAGTGCATAGGAAAAATAAAATGGTTTTACTGCAGTGTTAGCTGAAGGTACAATTCCCATTCACAGAAAAGCCTCCAACTAGGGATAAGTAGTACTTTATTCACATGTGTCAATATTCAGGTGATGCTAACACTGGACCTATGTGTATCTGGTGGTTCTGATAAACCAGCCCATAGTAGCTCTGATGTTGCTTGTGGAGCTGCTCTCAGCCAGTGTCAGTAAAGCTGAGTGAGAACTTGAGCTGACCAATCCTGCAAAGATAGTTACCTTAATTGCATTAAATTTTAAGGAAAAAAAGGGAAGCATCACTTTATGAGGTTGAAATATTGAACATGTCTGGGAAAGAGAAAAAGCCAGTTTTTAAGCAAGAGCATTTATGAAATGCCTTGGTTGCATTGTGTATACAGGCATGGTGATGGCTTGTAGAAAAGCTTCTGCTGGGTATGGAGATGATAAACATCTCCAGCAGTTGTTTATTTGAGAAGGTAACACTTGAAGGTGCAGCTAAATGTGCTCCTGAGGCCTTTCTTCAACCAAAAAAAAAGTTTAAAATAGAAAGCTTGTTATTTTTACCTAATCAGTGTTTTGCATTATTTCCCAGTTTAGGTCACAGACTACAAGCTTACAGTTTATTTGAAATGCCAACAAAGCAAGAGAATTTATTTCTCTTCAATATGGTGAAAGAGTAGTTTACTACTTAGGTCATTTAACTCAGTTATAAATTACAAAATGTGAGTTATGACTAATCAGAGAAAGTAGTTTGGTGTTATGAAACCAGTCTTAAGACAAGTAGTTGTCCCTTAGGTTTCTCCTGCTTTCTGGAAACTTGGATTGCAAAAATCACTTCTACTTAGACCAAGAACCCGAGACTCTTCAATTTATTAGCAAAGATGATCTTCCAGCAACTTTCATATTATATCTTTTCCTGCACTCACCTTCAGCAGCTCCATAATTCCTGAACAGCTATCGTAAATTTTAGGAAATACTGATCTCTACTTGGCAATTATGGTATTCCTTATGGCTCATTCTTGCTTAATAGAATTGAAGAGGGGAAAGCTGCTGAACGGCTATTAGCTTAATAAAGAAAAGTAATTCTCAAATTCTTGTTAAATTGCAATGAGTATACAACTAAACTGAGTTTTAATTACGTTTTTAATTAAAGGAATAGCTATTGATTATGTCACTGAATATGTGTTGTAGCCAGCCCTAACCAATAGCAACTTTACAAGAGATCATTAAACTAGTTGTTAAAATTGCAAGTGAATGAGAACCAGAGCTGGTGTGGATAAAAGATACAATAGCAGCTTTCCTGCTACCACAGCATTGATCCTCTCCCAGGCCCATGGTGTGGATGCCTGGTGGAAGACAGAAAGCAATTTTCTGGATGCTGGTGATTGAGAGTGGGTGTGGAAACCCCACCTGCCCACGTGAATCTGCACAGCCGCGTTTTGTCCATGTGGGTTCTCCATCTGTGTGTACAGGTGGCACTGCGGGCTCAGTGGACCTCTTCTTCACCAACAGTCCTTGATGCTCTCAAGAAAATATGCCCAAAATTTGGTTTAGACTTGATTTGAAAAGTCTACAGGATGATTGTGCTGTTAAAGGCTTGATCCTTTCCTTCCTTGTGGTTCCACCTTTACTGCTGAAAGGATCTTACTGAAACATTTCATTAGACAGGAAAGTAGCCCCTACATTAGCAATGTCTAAAACAGGGCACTCATGGGACGTTGCTGGTTTTTTTAAAAAATAACCCCAATTAAGTAGGATTTCATATCCATTTTTAGTTTTTCCTGATGGTCACCAACATTTCAGTCATTTGACTGCAGCTGATGTATCTGCACTTAGTTCTTGCTCTCCCAGACAAAGACACTGCAACTGCTTGTGGCTGGAAACTGCTCTGAAGTGAGGTGTAACAGGGAGACGAGGTGGATGATCTCATGGGTCTTTCTGTTCTGCCCGTTATGATTTCTGTCCATATAAAGCCGCTTTAATCCCTTCCATTCAAATGCATTGTCTCCTCAAAAGTGTATGCTTAGTAATGACACAAGGCATGCTGCAACATGGGTAAGCTTATAGTCAGACCCTGTGACTCAGTTGGACTGAATTATTGTTTGAAATACAGCATTTTAGAATTAAAACTTGGTTTTGATACCAGTTTTTATAGTTGAGCGTATTTTGAATGTTCTCTCTATGTATAATGCACAAAGGCCAATCTGTTAAAATACTGCGAGGGTTGTCAGCACCCATGAGTTGGGTTGTGTTAGAATTAGAGATATCTGTAACCTTTATTTGACCTCGCAGTTTTATGGAGCATGATCTCGTCTTCAGTGACCTTCCTTCCCCCACGACCTCTTCCTCTTTGAAGAGCACAGAATAAACAAGGGGCACGAATGTGGCAAGGGCAAAGAAGTGGCAGTGGCTGGTGAGCTGCAGGAGTCAGGGGATGTGTTTGGGAGAGGCACGAGCACTTTTTAGGAATGAAAAGCAATGCCTTGTGGTGAAAGCACTTTACTCCCGGTATTGTAACTGTATCGCTGCTATTTTGTGTGTCGTTCATTTCACATTCAGAGCCCAGATTACAAATCATCTTTTGTAGGTAACAGGTGACAAGTAAAAAATAATGGATTACTGAAATATAAACTGAAAGGGTCAGATATAAACTTCACGGGAGTAAAAAGGTTTAATGACCTGTAATCAGGATTTACCATTGATTTGTACTTAAGTAATGGCATCTCTGGTTTTGTCCAACACACAGGATACATTTTAGTTTACTTCAGACAGGTCCTTGTTCCCTGTTACTGCTTAAGTGCAGGACGTTATGATTATAGATGTAGTGACACTGTTGTTGCAGAACACTGCTGATAAATTATGGTGGGATGGCAGCTGTAAATACAGCTTCTCTTGTGATTTAAGAGGGAGATGCGAAGGCGTATCACCCAGATGCTTGACCAATGGTAGATAGGGCCAGCCTCAGCATGCTAAAGCTTAAAAGTCCTTGCCAGATTTTGGGATTAGAAGTTGTCATTTCAAGCATTAATTAACTCCTTCAGTATTGAAATAATCAGATGCTCTGGTCCTCCTCTTTTTCTTTCTCTTCAGCCAAGATTTATTTACCTTTGCAAGCAGGAACTGACACACAAACCAATTTTTCAGTAATTTGTTGAGATACAAGAGCTTTCTTCAGCAAGCTGCCAAGTATTCAGAGTCTGTCTGTGCCACAGTGCAGTTTGTCTTCCCAGCACCTTCCCACTCACCCACTTACTAGTCAGGAAATGCACGGCCACTTGGAGCTGTGTAGTTGTACTGCTTAAGGCTGGAAAAACAATAAACAAGTCATTACACATCACCAGCAGCAGCAGCAGCAGCAAAATCAGCTGTAATTAGGATTCGCTTGACACAAAAGGGCAGATAGCTTTGGTCACTCAGTCCCTTGCTCTGTCGGTGACAGCCCTGTGCGGGTGATATTCCTAATGACTGACGAGGGGCAAGAAAAGTTGCAATATGCAACTGCTGACATTGCAGTGATTTTAACCTGGCTCCTCTCTGAGAAACCCCACGTGTCCTGATCTGAAGGCTGATACAAGCTTGGCTATTTTTTCCCTGAAGTGAGAGAGAAAAACAACTGCCTCCTTGAGATCTCCCTGGAATTCAGACTAAAAGGGGCTTGTATTTGCAGTGGTACTAAGGATGAAATTAGGATTGGCAGACTGTGATGTGTGAATTTGCACACATCCAGGGACTCGGAACAAGAGTGAATCTCGTTAATTAAGCCAAGACATTTTAGATGGTCTATGCCTAAAATTCAATCCTGTTCTGCAAAAGGGACTTTCTCTTGGGTCTCTTTAATGTCACATTCCATTTGCAATTGTAATAAATGCTGGAACTTGTTTCCCTCTCCCCCATCCCACAAAAAATGACAGAGAGGAATTTCTTGCTAAGCCTTTGATAACGGTTCTTTCTTTTTGTTCCAGATAACTTCAAACAAGAAGTGCTCGGAGAGCCTGAAGAATGATGGCGATGGTCTTATCCAAACTCTAGAGAGCCTGGCCCAAACTGCCAGGTGAGTTCCCTCAGGCTTCCAGGAATTTCCAGGGCTGAGAGTGCTTGTTTCCTTTTTGTCTGTGATGGTCGTCTTCTGTAATCGCCTCCTGTGCAGTTTAAGCTTCTCAGGTTTCTGTCCCTGGCCCCCTCCCTGAACTGCTCCCCTCCACGCTCCTTTCATTCAGAGCTTGCTGCCATTTCTGCCGTGGCGGCGGCGAGCTTTGATCCCCAGCTGTGGTGAGCCGCAGTGCGCTGCACAGTCCGGCTCAATGTGTCTGCACATGTAACAATATTTTTTCTCCTGATAGATTATTTTCTTCCAAACACTTGGCCTCTATAACCGGATACTGGTCAGAGGTTCATGGCAGAGCAGGCTCAATGCATAATGTGGAGTTTGTGCCCTGTTTTAAAGTGATTATTTTTGGTGTGCTTGCAAGCTGATTACTTTCAAATGCGCAGCCGAAGAACAGAACTATTTCTGTTTAATACCTGTGGCTTCTCCAAGAGGGCACGAGACTTTGGGGAATACTGTGGTCTCCTCTGCAAGACCTGAGGTGCCAGTCCCAGCAAGTTGGCCAAACCTCTACTTATCTCCTGCAGACTGTCCCTCACCTAATCCCCCTTGGACATGTGAGTGAATGAGTTACTGTTCTCTGCCCCTCAAAGCAGATTTTACACTCCAGCCATGTTAGGTTGCATTTCACTCCTGGATGAACTAAAATTAGTAGAGAAATTGTAGTTTATAGATAGTTTTTTGAAATGCTAAGATAATCTTGTCAGTGCTCTTTGTGCTCCCAAATGCAGGCTTTATATGGGTCAGTTGTGTGGACAAATTGGCTCCTGGACATTAGGGCAGGGTGTATGCTGTGTTGGAGGAAATGGGAGATGTGGGCAGATGTAGGGAGGAAGTGATGGGACATGGTGAGTGTGAGGAGATGCACACTGAGGACTAACCAAACCTGTCGAGAACAGTCTGCCTCCCTCTTGCGTACTCAGCTGCTGACTCATGGGTTTTTGTATGACACATTAAATTGTCTAACTAAAATAAAATGTCAGCTCTCCCCAGGGGAGACACTGGCACCACCACTGAACCTGACAGTGGGAACAGATGTGGTTTTCTTCTTTTAGAACTAGTTTTCACTCTATTTTGTAGCACTTCAGCATTAGATGCCCTAGACAACCTGGTCGTTCCCTTTGAATCTCCTTTTCTAGCTTCCTCTAATTGTCTGTTATCTATACATTTCTGTACTCAGAAAACCACATACCACAGGGCCCAAAATAAACAGCACTCTCTCTTATTTGACACAAGATGCTCAGTAGACCAAATTCTAGGTGATGCCAGTGACGAGTGTGTGATACATCAGGGTGAGCCAAGTTCCTTTGCTGTGCCAAGCTCCCATGCTGCAGCAATAACAGAAGAGCCCCCGAGAGCTCACAGATTTCCTTTCCCCTCCTCCCCTTCTTTGGGGAACATGTGTCTCTGTCCATTTGCCTCCAGAGGAAACTGAAAGGGATTCAGCCTGGATCTTGGCGCTGTAATGGATTTGAACATGGATAAATTGGCAATGGGCAGGTAGGAGAAGCGTGGGGCTAGCAAGCTTAGTCAGCTTTAGCTGCATGGCTGGTTTGTTTATGGAGGTTACGGATGTTCTGCCATCTCCCCAGATTCCCTTATGTGACATCTTTCCCAGAATGTCCCTTGTGACCAAGGTCTTGGTCTGCTCACTTGTGCCTTGAACCCTGTTAAGAACCCTCTCTGAATCTCCTGTAGAACCAGAAATGTTTTGGAGAAGGATACACCCAAGATCCTGGATCGAAGCCATCCTCTGCATAGTCTGAACTCCCAGGCCCTTCTACCCACAGATTATCACTGTGTCGAAGTGATCGAGGAGTGGTTTTGCTTTGCTTTGCTCATTTTTTTGCAGACAGGTTTCTGATCTCTTGCTCTGCCCGTGCAGCAGGAGGAGGATACCGGCCAAGCAGTCACATGCCGAGCATGGGGCACTGCTTGGAGTACAGGCTGCTTTCGGTGCTCTCCCGCTGCCGCGGAGCAGCCGTGCATTGCCAAACCCCTTCTCCACCGTACATCCTCAGAGTGACACAGAACCAACCCGTCCTGCTTAGTAGATCTGTGGAATCAAATAACTTGAAAACATGGGATTGTAGCCATTTATTTTCCAGTGAAGACAGTTGCCAAGATGCATTTGTTTCAAATAACTAAATCCCGTGGTTTAAACTGCTGCTTATTAAGACATTGGCTTACATAGTGTGGACTGATCATTTGGATTTCCTGGCCCCTTCTCCAAAACATGGTGTGTCAGTAGGTATATGTCATTAGCAGCAACCAAGGAAGTTGCAGATTGATCTACTGTCCTTTCTAAGCCAAAGATGAGGAATGGTAGTCTAGAAAATAAAAAAAAGAGACCTGTTTCTGTGGACTAGCAGTAATGTGCTAGAGCCTCTGTTCCAATGCTAGAAAAAACATGTGTCCAGAAGGAAAAATTGGGCAAAATACATACAGTAAAAACTTAAGCGAGGAAGCAAAGGGGGAAGATCCCACCATTCAATCTCAAACCTGCAGAGCTGTGTGTGGTGGGCAGCACCCCGAGTGGAACTGCCTCTCTGCGTGGAGCACGGATGCATGAGGGCTGTATGTGTGAAAGCACAGCTTTCTGTCAAGCTGAAAGGGGGCATGTGTGTAGATTCACTGAGGGGGCGGGGAGGAGCATAAATGATACCTCCTTTTTACAGAGGACATTGAGGGAGGTAGCAGTTACTGTGAATTTGAGCTGAAAATAATTTTTTACACAAGATTTCCTACAGAGCAGAATCACTTAACAGAAAAGCAGAGTGTGCAGTGTAGGTAATGACTGTTAAGAATTTTCCAGCATAGATAAAGTCAAATGTAGGATTGGAACATAAAAGTTTTCCCCTGAGGATGTCTAACAGGTGGTGTTACTGTTTTTAATTCCTAGCTCTCATGCTGATGTTGCTGTTGCTTCCTTGGCATTTGAAATTCTGAGAACGATGGGATGTGGAAGTACCAAGACTACCAAATGAACCGTGACATTATCAAGACTGCAGTGACCAGCCTACTGCAATGCACAAGTCGTGTCTCCTCTCTGCACCTCAGGCCTGCAGGAACATCTGCAAATGAGCAAACAACTAATTTAGCAAGCTGAGCTGTACCGTACCTGTGTAAGGAGTATGTATGATGTTGGGAGATTTCAGGGAGTTCTGGGGGTGAGGGGGGAGAGTGTGGTGGGGTTGTTCTTCGTTTTTTTTTTTAAAATCCCTGTACAGATGAGTTCTTGATTACTACTTTACCTTGCTGGCAATATGTGATGTAGCTCAAATATTTGACAGCCAGCATTTGAAAAGTGTAAATGAAATAAATAGTATGGTTATTTCACAGTATAAAGTGATTCACTATTTTGAGTTGGTGTTAGAAATGTTCAGGTATCATTTTTTTTTGACCAGGTGAATGCCTTGGCTGTCCATTCTAACGGGTCACCTCATGCCTATGGCTGGTAACAACCATCATCTCACACACCCACAACCAGCCCTGGAGATCACATAGAGGCTCTTGTGTGTATGCAATGGATTTATTTTTTTTCTTCTTTTAAAAAAAAATCAGCTCAGAATGTGCCCTCTGTTGCCTGGCACTGCACAGCTTAAGCTGCATTGGTGGAGTGCTCTCAGCTGCCAACACTCCTGGCTGGAGCTGCTCTTTGGAAACACGTGTGATAATAGAGCCTGGCAGTTTGTCACTGACCCCCAGTAAAAGCTGGTACTCTAGGAAGTGTCCTTGAGAGCCAGCAGCTGCCAGTGTGTGAAGAAGTTAAATTCCTTTTCTCCTCCTGTGCCTTGAGTGAGCGTGGTGTGGCTAAGTCTGGTACTACGACCACTTCCTTTTCTTAACAGTCACCTTTCCAAGTGACAACAGCATGGTCCTGCCAACCACAGGCACCTTAATGAGGTGCTGTTTGCTGCTACAAACCTGCTGCAGCCTGGTTCTCCAGCATACACGGAGGCAAGCAAACACCCCTAGGTAAACAAACTGATTTCACCTTGTGTTTTACAGGAATTGTTTTCTTACATTACTTTAAATGTCACTATCTCTTTTTCGTAGCTTAGTAGCTGGAATCAGAGCTAGAGTTATAGAAATGAGGAGAAGCAAGCTGGTGGCTGTTATTGGGTAGTGGTTGAGAGTAATGGTCCTCTAGCAGGTGCAGCTGAGAGGAACAAAGCCAAATTACTGGGTCAGACTTTCCCTGCTGCAACTGCAATTGCTTTGCCTCTGCAAGCAAAAGAGGGGGCAGTCCATCCTGGAGTTTAGTTCAGCTCTCATCATCCTTTGCAGCCAAGACCCCCTCCTCTGCTCTTCTGCTGGCACACTGCCCTGAAGCAGAACTGCCACCTGTTTGCTCTCCTTCGTTGCTGGCAAGAGCTGCAGATGTGCAGATGTGCAAATTCACCAGCAGCTTAAAAACCACGTTCCCTCCTTCCAAGTACTCAGGTGCTGCCTCAAGAGAAGGCCATTACACAGACTGAGGACACCCAAAAACAGGGGGTCTGTATTCCTCAGTGGGATGCTGCTTTGGCTTCTGTGTCTGAAGGTCTTGTGCAATTCCAGAACAGTTTTCAGCAAACTTGTAAGCACACAAATACATGTTATGATCTGAAATAATTTGACACAGAGTGAATTAAAAGTTTACTTTAATTTTGAACCATTTTATAACTGCATTTTTCTCATGAAGCATCTGTGTCACAGCAGGCTACAATAACTTTGGGATAAAAGGCAACTGGTAAACTGTCCAATACAAGGTTCCAAATAAACAGTTCTTACTGGCCCCTACCCAGACATATCCCAGATAAAGTTTTTGATCAGAAACATGAAATAGATCCACCTGCTTATTTTAAGCATATTAAAAAGGAAACTAATTGGACCATTTCTATTTGTCTAGTTTTTTATACAAAAAGGCTACACAATGTTACACTTTATTCAGAATACAGTTAGAGCGATTATGAATTAGTGTTCTACACTTTACTCAATCCTTAAAAATTAGAAACTGCTGTAGCATATTCACTATAACTTAATACTACAAGAGACTTTAAAAAAAACTAACGACAATTACTGCAAAAAAGAAAAGCTACTTCCAAAGCAAGCAAGGTCAGTACCATTACAGAGATTTAAAAAAAATAAGAAATTTTTAACAAGCAAGGCTAGGGTTTGATAAATTCCATCTTGCAATTCATTCTTGTGCATTCTTCGTTTCTTGAATCACTCCCAAAATCCATTTGTATTATTACTCCTCGACCAAAAAGGACCAGAACAAAAAGTTTACTTCAATTGTTCCCATAGGAAACTCAGCTTGGTTAGTGTGTCAGGCACTTTCTGAGATACTAGCCCACCCCTCGAGCCCTCTCAGCAACTCTACAGGCCAATCAATGCAAGTTCATTCAGATGATACAGCTGTAAAGAGAAAAAAACAACAGATGTCAGTGTTCATGAGAAAAGGGCCTTTTTCACACATCAAGTCTGCATGAAGCCAGTGCACAAGACATTACAGTTAATTACTTCCACACTTCACGGCAGAAGTCAGTTTGGAGAGTACTGATGATGTGTTTCCAGAGAGCCTTTATTCACTATTCTGGCACACTGGGACCCAATTGAGCCAATCCCTCCCTGCCAACCAAGTCCTCAGTCCAGTCATCGTTTTTCTCTTTTAGTTTTGTTTTTAAATTCAAGGTTGGAGCTTCTTACCTAAAGGATGATTTACAGGTCAGTATCGAACCAGGCCAACTGATTACTGTCACCTGGAGGCAGCCCATCCATAAGGTCCTGGGCATGACCAAGATCTGGCAGACCATCAACTGGGTAGTCAGCACCGGGGTGGTGGCCACCCATTTCATGTTCCATCATAGGGTCCATACCCAAGGCATCCTGACCGTATCCGCCAGAGTGGAAAGAACGGTAGCTAGGATCTAAGAAAGTTAAAGGTGGCAGAGGGAAAAAAAGCATAATGTTAACAGATGTTAGATGCATCTGAAGCTGCAAGTATCAGTGTGTGAGAAGATCTTTGTAGCCATCTAATTTTTTTTCTACTTCAGCCAAGTTCAAACCAATCTGTTGCCTGCCCTTCATGGCTATTCCATTGTTTGAAACAGCCTTCCAGTACAGTTCTGCAGACAAAGCACACTGCAGTCAGAAGCACGAGCAGATTCCAGCCAAGCTATTAGTCTGCACAATCAACAGTACTAAAATACAACAATACTGCAGCAAAACCAGGCTTCAAGACTGTAGCCTTGCTTCTGAAAGACTAGTCAAAAATAGCTTAGACCCCTTAGGGATAGGCTTGCATCTACAGACACTTACAGACTAATGCATTCAAATACCAGCTTTGTTTTAAAGAAAAACTGCACTATTGGAATTGTCAAGTCCATTTGTAAAGAATTTAAAAGATTTTGGGAAACAACAGCTCAGCGGGAGATGCTCCCACAAGACTCAGACAAGAAACACCAGTTTTGCACGTTCAGACAGCTCCCATTTCGGTGCTGCCAGTGGTGTTGCAGAAACTGGTTATTTGAACTGGCAGTTCCCCATCTGCCTGTCAGTTTGTAATACCTTGCTGAAGAGTAATTCACTCTCCACTCATTTGCAGTTCTCCTTTAAAATCTATGACTTGACTTCATCCAACTTAAGTTTAGTCAAGGGGAACGGAGGAGACGTACCATCTGGGCGGTATCCAAGAGGTTCTCCCTGGGCACCAATATCTAGTCCGAGATCTGCCGTCTAGACGTACAGAAAAAGTTAAAAAACAATTTTAATGTCAGGTCTTTGGAGCAGCACTAGCAATTCCGAGTTTAAAAAGTTTTGAAGCTTGCCCCACATCCCTTTTTAGCAACTCCTCTGCAGCGAGCACTGCAGCATGGTACTTTTGTGAACATGAAATCCCTTTTTATCCAAGCATCTCTATCTGATACATAACAGCCAGATTTAGGCACAGGAAACCATAGATCACTGGAAAGAGAGTTCTGTTTGGGAATGAAAAGATGGGGCAGGTCTAGGAACACTCCTCCTCAGTTACACCTGCCCAGCTCCTGCAAGGCAGCTGTTCAGA